TCCCGCTTTCCATCACCCGCCCCATTCTCCCTTTTTCCATCACCCCTCCCCATTCTCCCTCCTTCCATCACCCCGCCCCATTCTCCCTCCTTCCATCACCCCGACCCATTCTCCCTCCTTCCATCACCCCGCCCCATTTCTCCCGCTTTCCATCACCCCGCCCCATTCTGCCGCTCTCCATCAACCCGCCCCCATTCTCCCGCTCTCCATCTTTTTGCCCCATTCTCCCGCTTTCCATCATCCCGCCCCATTCTCCCGCTTTCCATCATCCCGCCCCATTCTCCCTCCTTCCATCACGTCGCCCCATTCTCCCGCTTTCCATCACCCCGCCTCATTCTCCCGCTTTCCATCACCCCGCCCCGTTCTCCCACTTTCCATCACCCTGCCCCATTCTCCCGCTTTCCATCACCCCGCCCATTCTCCCGCTTTCTATCACCCCGCCCATTCTCCCGCTTCCATCACCCCGCACCATTCTGCCACTCTCCATCACCCCGCCCCCATTCTCTCGCTCTCTCATCACCTTGCCCCATTCTCCCGCTTTCCATCATCCCGCCCCATTCTCCCGCTTTCCATCATCCCGCCCCATTCTCCCTCCTTCCATCACGTTGCCCCATTCTCCCGCTTTCCATCACCCCGCCTCATTCTCCCGCTTTCCAATAACCCTGCCCCATTCTCCCGCTTTCCATCACCCCGCCCCATTCTCCCGCTTTCCATCACCCTGCCCCATTCTCCCGCTTTCCATAACCCCGCCCCATTCTCCCGCTTTCCATCACCCCGCCCCATTCCCCCTCCTTCCATCAACCCGCCCCATTCTCCCCGCCTTCCATCACCCCGCCCCATTCTCCCGCTTTCCATCACCCCCGCCCCATTCTCTCGCTTTCCATCACCCGCCCCATTCTCCGTTTTTCCATCACCCCTCCCCATTCTCCCTCCTTCCATCACCCCGCCCCCATTCTCCCTCCTCCATCACCCCGACCCATTCTCCCTCCTTCCATCACCCCGCCCCAGTTCTCCCGCTTTCCATCGCCCCACCCCATTCTCCCACTTTGCATCACCCCGCCCCATTCTCCCGCTTTCCATCACCCCGACCCATTCTCCCGCTTTCTATCACCCCGCCCCATTCTCCCGCTTTCCATCATCCCGCCCCATTCTCCCGCTTTCCATCACCCCGCCCTATTCTCCCTCCTTCCATCACCCCGCCCCATTCTCCCTCCTTCCATCACCCCGCCCCCATACTCCCGCTTTCCTTCCCCCGCCCCCTTCCCCCCTCCTCCATCACCCCGCCTCATTCTCCCGCTTTCCATCACCCCCGCCCCATTCTCCCGCTTTCCATCAACCCGCCCCGTTCTCCCTCCTTCCATCACCCGCCCCATTCTCCCGCTTTCCATCACCTCGCCCCATTCTCCCGCTTTCCATCACCCCGCCCCATTCTCCCGCTTTCCATCACCACACCCCATTCTCCATCTTTTCATCACCCCGCCCCATTCTCCCGCTTTCCATCACCCCGCACCATTCTCCCGCTTTCCATCACCCCCGCCCCATTCTCCCTCCTTCCATCACCCTGCCCCATTCCCCCTTCTTCCATTACCCCGCCCCATTCTCCCGCTTTCCATCACCCCGCCCCATTCTCCCGCTTTCCATCACCCCGCCCATTCTTCCGCTTTCCATCACCCCGCCCCATTCTCCCGCTTTCCATCACCCCGCCCCATTCTCCCGCTTTCCATCACCCCGCCCCATTCTCCCACTTTCCATCACCCTGCCCCATTCTCCCACTTTCCATCACCCCGCCCATTCTCCCGCTTTCCATCACCCCGCCCCATTCTCCCGCTTTCCATCACCCCGCCCATTCTCCCTCCTTCCATCACCCCGCCCCATTCTCCCTCCTTCTATCACCCCGCCTCATTCTCCCGCTTTCCATCACCCCGCCCCATTCTCCCGCTTTCCATCACCCCGCACCATTCTCCCGCTTTCCATCACCCCGCACCATTCTCCCGCTTTCCATCACCCCGCCCCATTCCCCCTCCTTCCATCACCCCGCCCCATTCTCCCGCCTTCCATCACCCCGCCCCATTCTCCCGCTTTCCATCACCCCGCCCCATTCTCCCGCTTTTCCATCACCCCGCCCCATTCTCCCGCTTTCCATCACCCCGCCCATTCTCCCGCTTTCCATCACCCCGCCCCATTCTCCCGCTTTCCATCACCCCGCCCCATTCTGCCGCTCTCCATCACCCCGCCCCATTCTCCCGCTCTCCATCACCTTGCCCCATTCTCCTGCTTTCCATCATCCCGCCCCATTCTCCCGCTTTCCATCATCCCGCCCTATTCTCCCTCCTTCCATCACGTCGCCCCATTCTCCCGCTTTCCATTACCCCGCCTCATTCTCCCGCTTTCCATCACCCCGCCCCATTCTCCCGCTTTCCTTCACCCCGCCCCATTCTCCCGCTTTCCATCACCCCGCCCCATTCTCCCGCTTTCCATCACCCCGCCCCATTCTCCCGCTTTCCATCACCCCGCCCCATTCTCTCGGTTTCCATCACCCGCCCCATTCTCCCGCTTCCATCACCCCTCCCCATTCTCCCTCCTTCCATCACCCCGCCCCATTCTCCCTCCTTCCATCACCCCGACCCATTCTCCCTCCTTCCATCACCCCGCCCCATTCTCCCGCTTTCCATCGCCCCGCCCCATTCTCCCGCTTTTCCATCACCCCGACCCATTCTCCCGCTTTCCATACCCCCGCCCCATTCTCCCGCTTTCCATCACCCCGCCCCATTCTCCCGCTTTCCATCACCCCGCACCATTCTCCCGCTTTCCATCACCCCGCCCCATTCCCCCTCCTTCCATCACCCCGCCCCATTCTCCCGCCTTCCATCAACCCGCCCCATTCTCCCGCCTTTCCATCACCCCGCCCCATTCGCCCGCTTTCCATCACCCCGCCCAGTTCTCCCGCTTTCCATCACCCCGCCCCATTCTCCCGCTTTCCATCACCCCGTCCCATTCTCCCGCTTTCCATCACCCCGCCCCATTCTCCCGCTTTCCATCACCCCGCCCCATTCTCCCGCTTTCCATCATCCCGCCCCATTCTCCCACTTTCCATCATCCCGCCCTATTCTCCCTCCTTCCATCACCCCGCCCCATTCTCCCTCCTTCCATCACCCCGCCCCATACTCCCGCTTTCCATCACCCGCCTCATTCTCCCGCTTTCCATCAACCCGCCCCATTCTCCCGCTTTCCATCACCCGACCCCATTCTCCCGCTTTCCATCACCCCCGCCCCATTCTCCCGCTTTCCATCACCCTGCCCCATTCTCCCTCCTTCCATCACCCCGGCCCATTCTCCCGCTTTCCATCACCCCGCCCCATTCTCCCGCTTTCCATCACCCCGCCCCATTCTCCCGCTTTCCATCACCCCGCCCCATTCTCCCTCCTTCCATCACCCCGCCCCATTCTCCCTCCTTCCATCACCCCACCCCATTCTCCTGCTTTCCATCAACCCGCCCTATTCTTCCGCATTCCATCACCCAGCCCCATTCTCCCGCTTTCCATCACCCCGCCCCATTCTCCCGCTTTCCATCACCCCGCCCCATTTTCCTGCTTTCCGTCACCCCGCCCCATTCTCCCGCTATCCATCACCCCGCCCCATTCCCCCGCTTTCCATCACCCTGCCCCATTCTCCCGCTTTCCATCACCCCGCCCCATTCTCCCGCTTTCCATCACCCCGCCCCATTCTCCCGCTTTCCATCACCCCGCCCCATTCTCCCGCTTTCCATCACCCCGCACCATTCTCCCGCTTTCCATCACCCCGCCCCATTCCCCCTCCTTCCATCACCCCGCCCCATTCTCCCGCTTTCCATCACCCCGCCCAATTCTCCCGCTTTCCATCACCACGCCCCATTCTCCCGCTTTCCATCACCCCCCCCATTCTCCCGCTTTCCATCACCCCGCCCCATTCTCCCGCTTTCCATCACCCCGTCCCATTTTCCCTTCTTCCATCACCTCGCCCCATTCTCCCTCCTTCTATCACCCCGCCCCATTCTCCTGCTTTCCATCACCCCGCCCCATTCTTCCGCATTCCATCACCCAGCCCCATTCTCCCGCTTTCCATCACCCCGCCCCATTTTCCCGCTTTCCGTCACCCCGCCCCATTCTCCTGCTATCCATCACACCGCCCCATTCCCCCACTTTCCATCACCCCGCCCCATTCTCCCGCTTTCCATCACCCCGCCCCATTCTCCCGCTTTCCATCACCCCCGCCCCATTCTCCCGCTTTCCATCACCCCGCCCCATTCTCCCGCTTTCCATCACCCCTCCCCATTCTCCTACTTTCCATCACCCCGCCCCATTCTCCCTCCTTCCATGACCCCGCCCCATTCTCCCTCCTTCCACTACCCCGCCCCATTCTCCCGCTTTCCCTCACCCCGCCCCATTCTCCCGCTGTCCATCACCCCGTCCCATTCTCCCGCTTTCCATCACCACGCCCCTTTCTCTAGCTTTCCATCACCCCGTCCCATTCTCCCTCTTTCCATCACCCCGCCCCATTCTCCCGCTTTCCATCACCCCGCCCAATTCTCCCGCTTTCCATCACCCCGTCCCATTCTCCCGCTTTCCATCACCCCGCCCCATTCTCCCGCTTTCCATCACCCCGCCCCATTCTCCCGCTTTCCATCACCCCGCCCCATTCTCCCGCTTTCCATCACCCCGTCCCATTCTCCCGCTTTCCATCACCCCTCCCCATTCTCCCTCCTTCCATCACCCCGCCCCATTCTCCTGCTTTCCATCACACCGCCCTATTCCCACGCTTTCCATCACCCCGCCCCATTCTCCTGCTTTCCATCACCCCGCCCAATTCTCCCTCCTTCCATCACCCCGCCCCATTCTCCCTCCTTCCATAACCCCGCCCCATTCTCCCGCTTTCCATCACCCCGCCCCATTCTCCCGCTTTCCATCACCCCGCCCCATTCTCCCGCTTTCCCTCATCCCGCCCCAGTCTCCCGCATTTCATAGCCCCGCCCTATTCTCCCGCTTTCCATCACCTCGCCCCCTTCTCCCGCTTTCCATCACCCTGGCCCAATCTCCCTCCTTCCATCACCCCACCCCATTCTCCCTCCTTGCATCACCCCGCCCCATTCTCCCGCTTTCCATCACCCAGCCCCATTCTCCCGCTTTCCATCACCCCGCCCCATTTTTCCGCTTTCCGTCACCCCGCCCCATTCTCCCGCTATCCATCACACCGCCCCATTCCCCCACTTTCCATCACCCCGCCCCATTCTCCCGCTTTCCATCACCCCGCCCCATTCTCCCGCTTTCCATCACCCCCGCCCCATTCTCCCCCTTTCCATCACCCCGCCCCATTCTCCCGCTTTCCATCACCCCTCCCCATTCTCCTACTTTCCATCACCCCGCCCCATTCTCCCTCCTTCCATGACCCCGCCCCATTCTCCCTCCTTCCACTACCCCGCCCCATTCTCCCGCTTTCCCTCACCCCGCCCCATTCTCCCGCTGTCCATCACCCCGTCCCATTCTCCCGCTTTCCATCACCACGCCCCTTTCTCTAGCTTTCCATCACCCCGTCCCATTCTCCCTCTTTCCATCACCCCGCCCCATTCTCCCGCTTTCCATCACCCCGCCCAATTCTCCCGCTTTCCATCACCCCGTCCCATTCTCCCGCTTTCCATCACCCCGCCCTATTCTCCCGCTTTCCATCACCCCGCCCCATTCTCCCGCTTTCCATCACCCCGCCCCATTCTCCCGCTTTCCATCACCCCGTCCCATTCTCCCGCTTTCCATCACCCCTCCCCATTCTCCCTCCTTCCATCACCCCGCCCCATTCTCCTGCTTTCCATCACACCGCCCTATTCCCACGCTTTCCATCACCCCGCCCCATTCTCCTGCTTTCCATCACCCCGCCCAATTCTCCCTCCTTCCATCACCCCGCCCCATTCTCCCTCCTTCCATAACCCCGCCCCATTCTCCCGCTTTCCATCACCCCGCCCCATTCTCCCGCTTTCCATCACCCCGCCCCATTCTCCCGCTTTCTCTCATCCCGCCCCAGTCTCCCGCATTTCATAGCCCCGCCCTATTCTCCCGCTTTCCATCACCTCGCCCCCTTCTCCCGCTTTCCATCACCCTGGCCCAATCTCCCTCCTTCCATCACCCCACCCCATTCTCCCTCCTTGCATCACCCCGCCCCATTCTCCCGCTTTCCATCACCCAGCCCCATTCTCCCGCTTTCCATCACCCCGCCCCATTTTCCCGCTTTCCGTCACCCCGCCCCATTCTCCCGCTATCCATCACCCCGCCCCATTCCCCCACTTTCCATCACCCCGCCCCATTCTCCCGCTTTCCATCACCCCGCCCCATTCTCCCGCTTTCCATCACCCCCGCCCCATTCTCCCGCTTTCCATCACCCCGCCCCATTCTCCCGCTTTCCATCACCCCTCCCCATTCTCCTGCTTTCCATCACCCCGCCCCATTCTCCCTCCTTCCTTGACCCCGCCCCATTCTCCCTCCTTCCACTACCCCGCCCCATTCTCCCGCTTTCCCTCACCCCGCCCCATTCTCCCGCTGTCCATCACCCCATCCCATTCTCCCGCTTTCCATCACCACGCCCCTTTCTCTAGCTTTCCATCACCCCGTCCCATTCTCCCTCTTTCCATCACCCCGCCCCATTCTCCCGCTTTCCATCACCCCGCCCAATTCTCCCGCTTTCCATCACCCCGTCCCATTCTCCCGCTTTCCATCACCCCGCCCCATTCTCCCGCTTTCCATCACCCCGCCCCGTTTTCCCTCTTTCCATCACCCCGCCCCATTCTCCCGCTTTCCATCACCCCGCCCCATTCTCCCGCTTTCCATCACCCCGTCCCGTTCTCCCGCTTTCCATCACCCCTCCCCATTCTCCCTCCTTCCATCACCCCGCCCCATTCTCCTGCTTTCCATCACACCGCCCTATTCCCACGCTTTCCATCACCCCGCCCCATTCTCCTGCTTTCCATCACCCCGCCCAATTCTCCCTCCTTCCATCACCCCGCCCCATTCTCCCTCCTTCCATAACCCCGCCCCATTCTCCCGCTTTCCATCACCCCGCCCCATTCTCCCGCTTTCCATCACCCCGCCCCATTCTCCCGCTTTCCCTCATCCCGCCCCAGTCTCCCGCATTTCATAGCCCCGCCCTATTCTCCCGCTTTCCATCACCTCGCCCCCTTCTCCCGCTTTCCATCACCCTGGCCCAATCTCCCTCCTTCCATCACCCCACCCCATTCTCCCTCCTTGCATCACCCCGCCCCATTCTCCCGCTTTCCATCACCCCGCCCCATTCTCCCGCTTTCCATCACCCCGCCCCATTCTCCCGCTTTCCATCACCCCGCCCCATTCTCCCACTTTCCATCACTCCGCCCCATTTTCCTGCTTTCCATCACCCCGCCCCATTCTCCAGCTTTCCATCACCCCGCCCCATTCTCCCGCTTTCCATCACCCCGCCCCGTTCTCCCGCTTTCTGTTGAGTGATGCTACCATACGCATTCACGTCTGTCTGCGTCCCATCATGTGTTCGTACGTTGCATGCGTGGTGTGAGCGTATGCAAGAATTTGTGTTTGGTGTGTTTTGGATTCTCTGAGTGTGTGTGAATGTTATTTGGATTGAGCAGATATCTGAAGTTACTCTTCTGCTCAAGAGCTTTCTGTGAACCAAGTATCGCTTCAATCGGAGCACGAACAAGAAAGTTACGAACGTTGGGAGTTCGTATGCATTGCGTGTTTGATTGTGGTGACTATGGGAAATTGTGGGGTTGACTCAACATGGGGTACAGACTTGTGGGGGTTGGGGAATTCGTACCCATCACTGTAGATGCTGCCAAGTGGTTGGGAGAAACCAAACCAGGTTGGCAAGTGTGGCCAAGTTGGGTGAAGTGGATTTGGGAGGTTGGGAAAATGACAAGGGTGAAAGTTGGGTTGCCTATTGAGAGGGAAATTGTGTGGCATGGGGGTTTCCTTGGTTGGGGACTCCTTGTGACCTTCCCTCTCGTCCTCCTCTTCCCTCCTACCTGGTTTAGTGCCACTCTAACTCTCTTGTGTAGAACTTGTGAGAATTGTGAGAACTCTTGTGATTGAGTAAATTCTCTATGGCAGCATACCCCTCTGTGCGCCAAAATTCATAAGTCGAGAAACACTTCACCTTTGGATACGATTCAAATTGGAAAATGTAGCTACGGTCTAGGGCTACTATATATTGGAGTTTCGTGCGTTGTTTGTCGACGGCGTTTCTTGTGAACTCGACGATTCTGTCCAGAAATTGAGACCAACGATTTTGAGAAAGTTAGACACATAATCTTCATAGACTCCGTCCTTAGTCTGTAACAAGTGGTGTCAGAGCTGATTAAGGACTTTGTGGAGAGTCTACTGAAGTGTGAAAACCCTCCCAGACCCACCATGGCCTGTGGGCGTGCCTAAGTGGAGTTGTGGAGGTTGCATGTGACTTCCGCTAAGGGGAAACTCTGCCGAAATTTCGTTGGCGCCGTCACTTGTGAAAATATTATGGATCTACATTGTGACCAGCAAAGGGGGGAGCTGAAACCTGTGATAGGGAGCTAAGGAGATGAGTCAAGGGAGTGGAGAAGCAGCTGAGAAGAAGAGTGAGCCGCCACCATCCAAGATTGAGGCATTGGATGGCTCCAACTATGAAGAATGGAGTGGGTGGATGAGGAGCGCCTTCAAGCGCTACAAGCTGCTGAAATTGGCTATGGGAGAGGAGAAGATGCCCGAGGAAGGAGATGCCCGCGATCGGTGGATTGAGCGAAGCGCGGTGCTGTACGACCTCATCCTTCAATCGGTGAACAACGACATGTTTCAGCACATCAAGGATTTGGTGGAGCTCGATGACTCCGGACCAAAGGCGTGGAAGCTACTGCGCGACGTGGTTCAGCCCAACACGCTGCCGATGGTGATCGTGTTGGAGAAGGAGCTGGCTGCCCTCTCCATGCGGCCGGGAGACGATGTGAAACCGGTGCTTGACAAGATCAAGGACACCTATGGGAGGATGGCAGCGGCGGGCAGCAAGGTGTCGGAGATGCAGCAGTGCACCAAGATCATCTCGGTGCTCGACAACTCGTGGGACAACCTTATCCCCACCCTCAACGTTCAGCAGGACAAGTGGACACCTGAGTGGCTACGGCAGCAGATCTTGCAGGAGGACTTCCGCAGGCGTCACACGGGAGGTGGTGCTGCCAACAAAACTGCTGAGGGGTGTGGAGCTGCAGCAGGCAGAGGAAGAGGGGGTGGGAGAGGCCGAGTCCGTGGGAGAGGCTTTGGCAGAGGAAGAGGTCGAGGTGACTACAACGAGGGGCATGGGAGCTCTGGTGGCAGGGGGAGCACCCGAATGGAGGGTGCATGCTGGTACTGCAAGAAGGCTGGACACCCATGGTTCAAGTGTTTCAGCCGGCCTGAAGGATGGGCGCCTCCAGGCATGAAGCCGCCAAGTGGTGAACGCGCACGAGGTGGCGCTGTGCAAGGTTCAGGTGCAACCATTGGTTGAGAATTCACGACGATTCGTCGTCTCGAAGTTGACTACCCGCTCTGATACCACTTGTTGTTCAGGATCCATCACTTTGAGAACTTACGACGAACTTATTACTCTGGATTTGAAAGCTCTGGATTTCTCCTGCATGATCAAGCATTTAGACTTGGAGAGTAACACAGAGATGACAATATCCAACAGCCATGCATAATGACATATGCTCATGCAAATCATGCAAGCACAAATAGCACGAGCACTCGGCAGGACGTTAGGATGACATGCACTCAGAATGACGTGCATCCAACACTAGGCCCTTGTTCTCGCAACTTTGCACACGCTAGGCACTTGTTCTTCCAATTTTGCACACGCTAGGCCATTGTTCTTGAACTTTTGCACATGCTAGGCCCTTGTTCTTGCAATTTTGCAAATGCTAGGCCCTTGTTCTTTCAATTTTGCACACGCTATGCCCTTGTTCTTCCAATTTTGCACACGCTAGGCCCTTCTTCTTGCAATTTTGCACACGCTAGGCCCTTGTTCTTCCAATTTCGCACACGCTAGGCCCTTCTTCTTCCAATTTTGCACACGCTATGCCCTTGTTCTTCCAATTTTGCACATGCTAGGCCCTTGTTCTTGCAATTTTGCACACGCTAGGCCCCTGTTCTTGCTACTTTGCACACGCTAGGCCCTTGTTCTTCCGATGTTGCACACGCTAGGCCCTTGTTCTTGCAATTTTGCACACGCTAGGCCCTTGTTCTTCCAATTTCGCACAAGCTAGGCCCTTGTTCTTGCAATTTTGCACACGCTATGCTCTTGTTCTTCCAGTTTTGCACACGCTAGGCCCTTGTTCTTGCAATTTTGCATACGCCAGGCTCCTGTTCTTGCTACTTTGCACACGCTAGGCCTATGTTCTTCCGATTTTTCACACGCTAGGCCCTTGTTCTTGCAGTTTTGCACACGATAGGCCCTTGTTCTTCCAATTTTGCACATGTTAGGCCCTTGTTCTTGCAATTTTGCACACGCTAGGCCCTTGTTCTTCCAATTTTGCACACACTAGGCCCTTGTTCTTCCAATTTTGCACACGCTAGGCCCTTGTTCTTCCAATTTTGCATACGCTAGGCCCCTGTTCTTGCTACTTTGCACACGCTAGGCCCTTGTTCTTCCAATTTCGCACACGCTAGGCTCTTGTTGTTGCAATTTTGAACACACTAGGCCCTTGTTCTTCCAATTTAACACACATTAGGCCCTTGCTCTTCCAATTTTGCACACGCTAGGCCCATGTTCTTGAAATTTTGCACACGCTAGGCCCCTGTTCTTGCTCCTTTGCACACGCTAGGCCCCTGTTCTTCAAGTCTTGCACACGCTAGGCCCCTGTTCTTGCTACTTTGCACACTGTAGGCCCTTGTTCTTCCAATTTTTCTCACGTTAGGCCCTTGTTCTTCCAATTAACACACATTAGGCCCTTGTTCTTCCAATTTTGCACACGCTAGGCCCTTGTTCTTGAAATTTTGCATACGCTAGGCCCCTGTTCTTGCTACTTTGCAGAAGCTAGGCCCTTAATCTTCTAATTTTGCACACGCTAGTCACCTGTTCTTGCTACTTTGCACACGCTAGGCCCTTGTTGTTCCAATTTTGCACACGCTAGGCCCTTGTTCTTGCAACCTTGCACACGATAGGCCCTTGTTCTTCCAATTTTGCACATGCTAGGCCCTTGTTCTTGCAATTTTGCACACGCTAGGCCTATGTTCTTCCAATTTTTCACACGCTAGGCTCTTGTTCTTGCAGTTTTGCACATGATAGGCCCTTGTTCTTCCAATTCTGCACATGCTAGGCCCTTGTTCTTGCAATTTTGCACACGCTAGGCCCTTGTTCTTGAAATTTTGCATACGCTAGGCCCCTGTTCTTGCTACTTTGCAGAAGCTAGGCCCTTAATATTCTAATTTTGCACACGCTAGTCCCCTTTTCTTGCTACTTTGCACACGCTAGGCCCTTGTTCTTCCAATTTTGCACACATTAGGCCCTTGTTCCTCCAATTTTGCACACGCTAGGCCCTTGTTCTTGACATTCTGCGCATGCTAGGCACTTGTTCTTGCAATTTTGCACATGCTAGGCCCTTGTTCTTGCAAATTTGCACACGCTATGCCCTTGTTCTTCCAATTTTGCACACGCTAGGCCCTTGTTCTTGCGATTTTGCACACGATAGGCCCTTGTTCTTCCAATTTTGCACACGCTAGGCCCTTGTTCTTGCAATTTTGCATACGCTAGGCCCCAGTTCTTGCTACTTTGCACACGCTAGGCCCTTGTTCTTCCGATTTTGCACACGCCAGGCCCTTGTTCTTGCAATTTTGCACACGCTAGGCCCTTGTTCTTCCAATTTTGCGCACGCTAGGCCCTTGTTCTTCCAATTTCGCACACGCTAAGCCCTTGTTCTTGTTATTTTGCACATGCTAGGCCCGTGTTCTTGCAATTTTGCACATGCTAGGCCCTTGTTCTTGCAATTTTGCACACGCTATGCCCTTGTTCTTGCAATTTTGCACACGCTAGGCCCCTATTCTTGCTACTTTGCACACGCTAGGCCCTTGTTCTTCCGATTTTGCACACGCTAGGCCCTTGTTCTTCCAATTTTGCACACGCTAGGCCCTTGTTCTTGAAATTCTGCACGTGCTAGGCATTTGTTCTTACAATTTTGCACATGCTAGGCCCTTGTTCTTGCAATTTTGCACATGCTAGCCCTTATTCTTGCAATTTTGCACACGCTATGCCCTTGTTCTTCCAATTTTGCACCCGCTAGGCCCTTGTTCTTGCAATTTTGCACACGCTAGGCCCTTGTTCTCCTAATTTCGCACACGCTAGGCCCTTGTTCTTGCAATTCTGCACACGCTAGGCCCCTGTTCTTGCTACTTTGCACACGCTAGGCCCTTATTCTTCCGATTTTGCACACGCTAGGCCCTTGTTCTTTCAATTTTGCACACGCTAGGCCCTTAATCTTCCAAT